TTTGACGTTTCCTTGGAAACTGCCAGCGAAAATGATCATAACGCGCCTAAAGCACGTTATGATTGCGCGCCGCGCTACTGTAAAACGCTTAAAACCGTTCTGTTCTGTGTCTCCCGCTGTGGCGCAGTGCACATTTTCCAGTAGAAATAGCATTTTTCCCACTCGCCTGGTGGTTCTATTGTTCGGAGAAACCGAATTCGCGATAAACAACACAATGTGGGCAGCACTCTGGACCCTGCTGCGAAATGTCGAGAGCCCCAAAGCCGGACTGCTGGCGAGCACCGCCTGGCTTGACAACTGTCGCAAACACGGCATAGAAAAAATAGGTTCGCCAGCAAAAGCTTCGGGGCCACTTTTGGGACCCAAAACCTGCTCAAAAACGGCGCCTTTCAAAGTGGGCCTCCCCAGTGCCGGATTATCATGCTTCGCTTGCTCAATTGCATAGCTGCACAACACCGTTGTTGTCGTTGTCTCTGAAACCTGCAGCAGCTCAAGCTATCATGTTGCCTGCGTTAAAAAAAAAAGCGAAACTGTGAAAGATTGTAGCCTTCCTTCACAGCAATACTTGCTTGCTGGCATTTTGTCACAAACTGCGTTCAGAAAGTGTAAAAAAGCGGGTTCTAGTATTCTAGTATTGGCACAATTAAGGAAGGCTCAGAAAACGGGCCCATTTTGGGGCCCGCATTTTGGTGCCGGAAAACCACTCTCAAGCTCGTTCTTGGAGTCACAAAATCTGACGCAGGTTGAGAAATACCGTCCACCAGTCATTCGCAAGATGCAGCTGGACAACTCCAAGGTGAAGCACCCAATTCCTGCTTCTCTTGAACACACATTCGATTTCAACGGTGAAATTGAAAACCCGCTGCATGTAGTCTAACTGTCTAACCAGTTGCAGCTGCAACTAGGGAGGCCACCCCCCACGGACCCCAAACCATACCCAGTTTTCGGACCCCAAAACAGGGGACACATTCCGGCTCAATGGGAAGCATGCCAGGCATGCTCCTTTGGCCTTGGGCTTTAGCCTTCGCTTTCGGCGGCATGGCACCTCAAAGGATAACCATGCCAGACAACGCCAACTCCAAAGGACAATATTGAGTGTCCGACCAAAGCTCTTGCACGTGCTTTCGTCAGGGCTTTCCGTACACTGCGGAGCTGTGCGGCTGCCACTCATTCAGCCATCCGAAACTCCGAAAGTTTCAACGGGAAACTGAAGATCGTAACGTGCTGGACGCCCTTCAATGTTGAAGGAAAGAAAGAGACTGAAAGTTCTGAAAGTGCGTCACGGCCCTCGGAAGCAAGATAGCCGAAGTCCAAGAAACTTCTACACGTCTACACGTTGAACGGCCGCGCGCACGTTATGTTTGCACTGGGGGGCGGCTGCAGAGAACTGGTCTCAAATCTCATATTGCAGCAATCGCAGATAATGTGAGCTCGTGATTTTTAAAGGCCCCCTCAATAGAGCTAAACTCGGCCCGGAACTCAATAATAAAAGGTCCCCTCAATAGAGCTAAACTCGGCCTGCACGTAATAATAAACACCCCTCAATAGTCCTAAAACCCGTCCCGGTGTAAAATTTTTGTAAGGTTTAGGCAGGGAAGCACTCCTACTACAAAGTGACGCCCTGGAAAAGGAAAGACAGAAACAGGCAAAATAAAGAAGACAGTACTACTGTACTACTGTACTACTACTGTACTGTACTACTGTGCTACTGTACTACTGTACTACTGTACTACTGTACTACTACTGAGAGCCCCGGGTCCCAAACAACTTCGACCCCGGTCCCCCAAACAACTAAAGATCAGAGAGGCGGACCCTCCGTTATTATTGGGGTTGAGGGGGGGGTTTAATAATCAGGAGACAACATTAGACACTCCGTGACTTGCGCATTCACTCACACGCTCACCCAAACCACTTCTTGACTCCCAAACTCCCTCACACACTCACTCCAACCGTGCATCCCCCGCAGTCCCTTGCGCAATATTGCCGACATTGCGCGAAGACAAAAGTCGAAGGTTTCTTGGTGTCACTTTAGTGTGAAGACCGCACAGAGAAACGTCTGATGATGCTTTCACTTCCGGCTTCTATGCCTTAGAGCCCACCGTAAAGGTCTCTTGGTCCCATTTTGGGTGAAGACCACACAGAAACACGTCCGATGCTTTCACTTCCGGTTTGTAAGCCTCGGAGCTTACCTGAAAGGTCTCTTGGTCCCATTTTTTGGGGCGAAGACCATGCAGAAACACGTCTGATGCTTTCCTTTCCAGTTTGTAAGCCTCGGAGCCCACCAGGAAGGTCTCTTGGTCTCAGTCTTGGGTGAAAACCACACAGAAACACGTCTGATGCTTTCACTTCCGGTTTATTTGCCTCGGAGCCCAAAAACAATCTGCACGGCGGTCCCGGCTCGCTTCTGGTCGCAGGCATGTTTGACAGCAAAATTGTGGTATTCTGAAGCACATCGTCCATCAAAGTTGCAGTATTTTCACAGGTCCAGCCCTGTTCTCGCAGCATCGCGTGAAATCGCACTGTTTCCACAGTTCCAGGCTTGTGTGATAACGAAATCTGGCATTTTCCAGTAGCGCGGGGCGCAATCGTAACGTGCTTTAGGCGCGTTACGATTGATTTGGCTGGCATTAAACAACACAATGTGGGCAGCACTCTGGATCCTGCTGCGAAATGTCGAGCCCCAAAGCTGGACTGCTGGCGATCACCGCAAACGTCGAAGCTTCTTTCCACCCTCCATCCTCTGACGGTACTTGAGTCTCGTTTGGCTTGCGCTGCGAGGGCGTCGCACCAATTCGCTTTATCGACACCAGGCTTGGTTGCCAGTGCACTTTGAGACTTTCTGGGTTAAACCTGGGTTTGAATCTGGTTTTAACCTGGGTTAAACCTGGATGTTTTTAAACTTGGGTTCCAAACCTGGATTTGAACCTGGTTTCAAACCTGGGTTCAAACCTGGGTGAAAATCTGGGTTTTTAAACCGGGTCCAAATCTGAGTTAGAACCTGGGTTTCAATCCTGGAATCAAACCGGGCTATGTTAAACCTGATTTTTAAACCCGGGTTCGAAATCTGAGTCAGAATCTGGATTTCAAACCTGGGTTTGGAACCTGGTTTTGACTTGGGTTTGAATCTGAGTTTCAACCTAGGTTTAGCCTGGTTCCAAACCTGGGTTGGAACCTGGGTTTTAAAACTGGGTTCAAACTTGGGTTGTAACCTGGGTTTATTCCCTGGATTCTGCTCCGTCCCGCCCCGGGGGAGAGAACCCAGGTTCAAACCCTGGCTTAACCCGCGCGGGGCAACCAGCCTGGATCCGTGAGTGCTGCGCATGTCAAGCATTCAGCTGGGATCGTAACACGCACCAGAAAACACGCAAGCACGACTAGCTTAAGGACACGAGTAACCCAGAACACGCACTCTGCCCTTTTTTCTTTCCGACTTGAAGAGCCAAACTCAAGACTGGCATCAGCTCGACAGCTGACAAAGAACATCAGCTGCGAACAAAAGACCTCCCTGCAATCACAGGGAGGGTGGGCCTGCTCTGAGAACTTGGGCCCCTCACAATTTGACATTCCAAGTACAACCTTGAGACAGCACTATCCGAACAAGCGAATTCCGAGTGCATCGGACATTCATCACTGCATTGTCTTGGGTGACTCTGGATGACTGGATGACGGTCCACAGTCGCCTTAGCTGAGTTGCTAAGCAAGACTCCTTTTTTTTCTTTGCTGAACAGCTCATACTGACAAAGTCCGCACGCTGCAGCAGGTGCGAAACCTCGTTCTCTAATTACTCCGTTTCACCGCTGTTTTCTTGTGTGTTTGTTGACTTGATTGTAGTTTACTGGGACCGAGCGCTGCAGCTGCAGCCAACGAGGCCCGCCGACGCCAAAAGATCAATTAAATTCAAACATGCGGTTCTCGGTCTTCAATCTCAAGTTTTCTGCATTTTTAACATTCAAAAGGTGCATGTCCACTGGCTGCAGCATGGCAAGGATGCATGTTTTTTTTAAAAATTTGGTTCCCAAGCGGTGTGTCAGTTCCAGATCGATGCCACTCAGTCGGAGCCGTGCTTGCAACCACATTACTATTGCACTGGACGGAGGTCACCACCGTGTGCCTGACCAAGCTGTTTTTGTCTGTAAGAGTTTCACATAAAGAGCAGAGATGCGAGAAGCGTGGCATCACATTGCCACGCAATGTTCCAGTGTCGCAGCTTTCAACACGCTTTGTGTTGGACATGGTTTGGTGCGCGGACTTCCCTGTACTTTCAGAGTCTTTGCTGCGGATGCGTCGTGAGTGTGTTTTTGAGTTGACAAAAGAACTTGCACTTCAAGTCGTTTTTACTAAAGGCTTTGAAACTGGGCATGCTCATCTTGGTTTTTAACTTTGAAAGCACGACGCGATGCACGCCTAATCGCCAGACCGTGGGCCCATCGCAAAGATATCTGCATACCTCCACGCAAAACTTGCACTTTCGATTAGACCTAGACCTGCTTGGCTCGGTGCAGATCCTTTTGCTAGAAAACGCGGACAATCAACTTCGAGCTGGGTTTACATATTCTTGGGTATCACTGCCTGACGGGCTGTGTTGGGATCGGCTCTCCTGTGCCTCTGCCCTTGTTGAAGTGCCCTTCGCAACTATCCGCCCCGGTCTCCCGAAGAACTCATCGGCATCGGTTATTCACAAAATCGGCTTGCCAGAGAACTTTGAAACCAAGAGGTTCAGGTTAAGGGTGTAGCTCTACGACAACCTCATGTCCAACCAACTTCACGAAAGTTTATGCCATGCAACTTGACACCATGAGACCTCAGGACAACTTGCATGCCATGCAACCCCACTACAATGAGCTTACGTCAACATCGTCATCACATCAACATCATCGGCGTGCTGCTGCATCCCTTTACCCCTATAGTCCGTTTCTGTCAGCTGTTCTTGGACGGGAAGGTTACAGTGGTGTCCCGGCAAAACGTGGCAAGGGCTCAAGCGAGAGTAACGTCCGGCAGCAATGGGCCAATCGACGGGATGTTGCAGCAAAGAGGAGGACACCGTAGCAGTTTTCAGCACTCTCTTTGTTGAATGTTTTTTCGCTGTTCCCAGCTCGACTTCCTATGAAAAGGACTCTGAACCCTAAGCTTCCGGCGCAACGCCGTCAGACCAGGAAGCGAGACCTTGCGGAGGCATTGAAACCATACAGGCCCAACCGCGGCCTGATGACGACGTTGAGAAGCCGCCTCTGCGCGAGGCGCAGTTAGGGGAAGAAGATGCTGTATGTTTTAACGTGCGAGATGCATTAAAAACGATGCAGTTGACAGCAACTCGGTTTTATCGGTATCCGTAGATAACAGACATGCTGCAACTGCAGCTTATTAATAGTATTACCAATGCAGACAAAACTAGCAGTACCAACCAAAGCAACTACAGTGACTACAGTATCAGTATTGTTTGTAGGCCTACTCGTACCCGTAGCAGGCACAGAAGGTGATAGTAAATGATAGTAAGCATAATGACGTAAGAACGACGAGCAGACCATCGCCACAACAGCAGTAACTAACGGCGACAGCGGCAACAACACTCACGCAGCAGTGACAATTCGCACCGAGTGATAATGGCGCAAGAAGAGTGGATGTTTCAACCGCAGTTGAGGTTTTTCGTCTTTACCCCTCGAAGTTGTGCAGTTGTGTTTTGGAGAAATTCTCCAAGCCACCCTGAGGTTTCGGTGGAAAGTATCCAGGTGCTCAGCTCGCCCACATCGAAGCTGGATGTGAATCCAAGTATCATACGAGGCATTTCGCTGCGAAAGTGTTTGCGATATGTGAGACGGCTATGGTGGAAGTCTCCCCTGGATCTTTCGGCAGATAGCCGAGCAGCCTTGTGGAAAATATCACGGCCAACGCCTGGCTTTGACATGTTTTTGTCACATACGTGGCAGACCTCGGGGCTTGCCAAATGCTGTGCGCTCTTGCTTCAATCCACGTGGGCATGGTGTTTGGCAGTGTGGCTCCTGACCACGGTGGTTGTGATGGTCTTATACAGACAGAATCTGCTGCCCATGATGGGTCGATATGCAACACCTGCAACCATCGAGCAAGACCTACTTCCTTTAGGCAGCGCTCTGTGTAGCTGTTGGGGTATGAGTCTTGTTCCTGATAGAGTGAGACCATTAGGATGGCTAAGTTAAGCTGCCGCGCAGAGGACCTTGGCTGACCGTCTCTAGCTTGCCTTCATGCTTCCTTGGCATGATGCTCGCGGTGTACGTACCGGAGAGGATCTGGCCCTCGCCAACTTGCTTTCTGGATGCAGTCAGCATCAACCAGAGTGACCAATCTCTCATGATGCAGGGCATCTATGGACTCGGTGGGGGGTGCTTCAAAATTAGACCCAGAGAGCCCAATACCCCTTAATTCACGAATATAGCTTAAATCATAATATGAAGCCCTGTATAATTTAAGCCATATTCCTGAATTCCCATATAGACCCCCTTATAGATCCCTTTAAGGAGCCCTTTTAAGGAACTTTAAATATTCCTTAATTAAGGGGTCTTGGGCTCTCTGGGGAGCTTAAGGTCCTCCAGTGCCGAGCGCGGAGCCGAAAAAGGGTTTCGGGATCTAGGTTTGGGCTTTCCCTCCGACATCCGATTTGTATCGTTGAATGGGGTTCGGTTGGACATGAAAAAGGCACCGTTCAGTTTAGTTAGTGTTCCCATTGTGCTCTATGTACTTCATCATAACTTGGTGCCAGTGTGCTGTTGGTGCGGGTACGACGATATGACATAGCAATTGTATCGTACTACTTGTACAGGACTAGATGTCAACTCTTGCATCTGCTGCGTTTGATGCTTCAGCAGCTTGCAGGGAACCCACCATCTCGTCTTGTGTTGTGGTGGGTCATCATACTTTGGTCGCAAATCATCACCTGTCGTTCTAGTGGGTCTGTCTGCCATCGTTGCTTTGCAGGTTCGTCACGATGTGTTTATCAGACCGTGGCCATATCATTCGACACATGTCCATGTCCAGTGTCTGTGTGATAGTAAGAAAAAACTAATGGTTAACATAGTAGTATACCACTAGTAGTAACAGTAGAAGCATGGTAGAACCGTCATGCCGAGAACCCTGCAGGTGGCTTCCTCAAAGCTTCGAAAGAACTGCGCATCCTTTGGTCGCCCCCATATTTTTCCAGATTGTGGCAGGGCTCAGCTTTGTGCCAAGGGTTTGTGAAATAGTGGCGATAGTTATAGTAGTAATAGTAGTAGATAGTAGGCTAGTAGTAGTAGTAGTAGTAGTAGTAGTAGTAGTAGTAGTAGTAGTAGTAGTAGTAGTAGTAGTAGTAGTAGTAGTAGTAGTGGTCGTAGTAGTAGTAGTAATAGTAGTAGTAGTAGTAGTAGTAGGAATAAAAATTATAATAATGTCGGTATGATTGTTTCCTGGACAAGCTATCAAAATCAATAAGTGTGTTTCCGTACCCAGGTGGTGTATATTCGAGCTCGCAGCTTACCGCACGGCGAATCCGACTGGCAAAATCATGCTGGCACCAGTGTTCGTGGAGAGTGCAGTGGCTGCCTACTTCTTTGGGAACTATGTCATAGCTCTGCTCTTTACCGACCGGGAGGCCTTCCCGGCCTTGTCAATCCTTGGGCAGGTGATCTCTGTCTTTCTTCTTGTCCGCTACTTGCGCAGGAGTTTTGGGGTGAAGCGGAAGCTCATCTCCGATTTGCGAAGCTTCAAGGTGGAGGAGGCCCAGTGCCGGCTTCAGTACGATCGGGATTTCGTCTTGAATGCCATCACCGAATGGTTTGGCAGCAAGGACGCTTTCACCGAGTATGTCAGGGGCGACCTCGGCAGAGACGCAATGTCAGGATACACCACAGGTGTCATTCCACTCCAGTATCAGCTGTTGCTGGTGTTGCCTGACATAAGCCTGAACCTGGACACATTCGTGGCGCTCTGGCTGGGGAACATGCCTACCGAGATCCTCGTCTCTCACTTTTTGGGTATGGTTCTTGGTTATTCCCTATGCTGGCGCATGGTGTCCTTCAGCTTGATAGCGTCCCTATGTGACCGAGTTCCCTCACTCAGTAGTTGCAAGATGTTGCTTGTGGATGTCCTAATTCTTTTTGCCGCGAATGCGTGCATTACCAGTGGACTCTTTGCCGCGCAAGCCGCCTATGCCCGTGGGGTACCCTGGGCCACAGGCTGGTTTCTTGCGGCAGGTGTGCTAGCGTTGCTTTTCCAGGGCACGTTACAGAAATGGTGCGGCAGATGCACCGGGCTTTCGAAAGCTGCTAAATGAGCGGTATCCCAAGTCCCGACCAGGGGTCCAGTAATAATATCCACCACATCCCTGCAAGAACATGCCAGAACAAGCAGTGGACTATCGATGTCCGATTCGTCGACCCTTGGCCTGGGCATGGTGTCACATGGGAGTTTCTGAAAATTCGGGGTACCTTGTTTTGGGGTCTCTATGATAAGCACCCGACTATTCAGGGTACTATATTAGGGTCCCCTATTTTCGGAAACTTTTACATAGCGTGAGGCAGTGCAGACCGTTATGAATTGTGACATCTTCGAGGCAGCAGTGGTCTGTTTCAGCTGAGGTGCCAAAAGAACCCAAACGGTAATCATTAGCTCTGTTGTTTCATAGGGAAACCGGGAGTTTCCGAAAATTAGGGGCACCTTCTTTTGGGGTCCTTATAATAAGGATCCTAGTAAGGCACTATGTTAAGGTCCCCTATTTTGGGAAACTCCCAACTGAGGGACAGGTATAAATGAGCTCGCCAGCTCGCATGCAAAGAGACCACCAGCGGACTCGAATGTTGTCATACACACTGGTGGTCCTCCCAAGTCTCTAAGCTTCTTTCGTTGGGTCCTCTAAGAAGTACATCAGTGGTGAGTGATGAGGTAGAGACGTCCAAAAGGACCCCAAATTTTGACAGACCAGCTATCGCATGCTTGTTCAGTCATGGTGCATAGTACCAGACACAGGCGAATGGAGCGGACGCAAAGATGGCCTCGGGGTTTCGAGCCAGTTGAATGGTAACGGGTTTTGGCTATGCCGGTGTTGATTGAGTTAATAACCAGAACATTCCCTCAGTCTTACAGGGATCCCCCATACTCTTGCACAGTAGTTTGAGGTATACTGCTAAGGTTTTGGAGCTGCTGCGCTCTAGACCCATAAATCCTTTCGAAGCCCCTTCCGGAATCCTTGCATCGCCCTGTAAAGCCCTAGCGACGAGCCATTTGAACCGAAGATCCTTCAGCACGGAAGTCCTGCACCCCAAATCCCCGCAGGTCTCTACCTGTAAAACGCAGCCGGCCTAATAGAAGAGACCATCCAGGCGATAAGATTAGGTACATGATTCAAGTAGTCAAGCAACCAAGTACAGCAGCATGTATGGAAATCACGTTTACATCACGTGCACGATACACCTCAGCCCTTAACCCTAAACCCCTAATTCCTAAACCCCTAAACCCAAAACCCCGAAGCCCTTAACCCTGAACCTCTAAGCCCTGAACCCTCAGCCCTTAAGGACACGCGGGCTCCCATGACGCAAGAGCGACCTGCTCCCCGAGTCCCGGTGTCAGCGGCTGAAAGTTTAGGAATGTCGTGGGCTCGTAGAGTAGTTCGACAAACATATACTTATATATGTTTATATATATCTATATATATATATATACATATTTTTATACACACATACTTATGTGTATATATATATATGTATATTTATGCACATGCATAGAACATTCGTTGAAGCCAGGATCGCGTAAAACCGGCGCAGCTTGCTTCAAGGTTTGACTAAGCCGACCGTCTTCTTCGGCTTTGGGAGTCAAGGCTTGGGGCTTTGGGTTTAGGGGTTGGTTTGACTTTAGGGCTTAGGGTTTAGGGCTTAGGGTTCAGTTTGACTTTCATATGAACATGCTCACTCCGGAGGGGTTGGAGCCGTGTCTCTCAAGCAAGTCGCTAAAATGGAGACAAGCAACGCAATGGTTTCGCCGACGAAGGTTGCCCAGACTTGACGGTTATTCTGGGTATAGTACACAGTCATAATAAGAATAGCATTTATGACATTATTTACGAGCTCCTGGGAAAAATCTTGGGACTTGTTTTTGGTAATTCTCGAAGCAGGTTGCCCAGGAAGAAGGCGCGGACGCGAAGAAGTGCATCTTGGCTGTCCTGGAAGCATCCTTTGCTTCTTGTGAACAGGCTGGTCCCTTGAACCCTGAACTCTCGTTTCCTAAACCCTAAACCCCAATTCCTAAGCCCTACTTGAAGGAAGAACGGCGTTTCCTCCTAAACCCTAGACACAAGTGAGGCACGGTTCGCCGAGTTGCAGAGTACCTGCCACCGAGGTCCGTCCTCCGCACAGGGAATCTGGGACAGGTTAGGGTTTAGAGCGTTTTTTTGGGCATGCTCTTCTTGGTCTTGTAGTAGAAGGTGCCCATGTCCTTCTCAGAACGAAACCCTGAACCCGAAAGTGCTTCTGCGAGTCGGCGGCTGAGGAATAAGAAAGCCAATGAGGGCTACTTTGCCTCCATCTGGTCTGCGAATACGGGAGGCTTCCTGGTCTTGGCCGACTCCATGATCAAAGGTGACGACACTTGAACAAGTGGGTTGAGGAGGCGTTGGGGCTTTCAGAGAGAATTGGGGGTTTACTGTAAAGTATCTGTTTCTTCCAGAGTTCTGTTCATGTGTGCCCAAGGCCTTTGAAACCTCGGATGCTCCTTCTGCATCAGAACTGAGGAAAGCAAAGGGGTGGTTCAGGGTGCCAGGGACAACCTGATCAATGAGTGCACGAACATGGGCCTGATCAGCGCCTTGATGCTCACCATGATCCTCCCCATGGCGTATGATCACGTCAACGACTGGCTCGAGGAGGCAGTGTCGAAGGGATGAGGGGGTTGACACGGGATGTGAGTTTCGTAAGTTTCCATCCCACAGAGAGTGTTTCGTAAAGCAGAGAAGCCGAAGAGGATTACCCTGGAAGTGGTTTCATCTTCTTGGACAGCTACATTGGCCAACAGCTTGGTGAGGCCCAGGTGCATGCGGCGTCTCCTACTTTGAATGACTTCGTCCTGGTTTTCTACGTGATTGGCTTCGCAGGATACCTCTTCTCGACTATCATGACAGTCATCATGCTTCTTTGTGTTGGAGAGGTGCAGACCGAGATGGGCTGTCATGTCTACCTCAAGAATATCGGGTTCATGTCGCGCATGCCCTACTTGTGCTTCCTGATGGGCTGCCTTTTCGCCGTGGCATCGGCCCTCCGGTTCATGGTGACCCCGAAGACTCCAGGAGGCTCAGGGTTTCGGGTTCAGGGGTTTCTAGCTTGTGTGTTTCCACCACCCAGCACTCAGAAAAATATGAGACCTTCTTCAGGCCTTGTCGTGCTGGGACTGGTCTGTCTCTTCTTGGTGATGGGTATGTTCTTTGGGGCCCCTGTGCTTATCCAAGCCGCAATCAAGGCTCACAACGCCATCCACGAGTATGAAGCTCGATCTCGCTGACAACTTATTAACGTACGCATGTTTAAATCGATAGACAGATAGACAGATAGATAGATAGACAGATCGATAGGTCGATAAATTAGACAGATAGATAGCAGGTAGGTAAGTAGTTAGAGAGATCTGTAGATGATAGATGGATAGATGGTTCGACGGATGAATTGGCCGATGGATAGATGGTTAATGATATGCTTTCGTTGCCATAACAACTTAAGTTTCGTTCCTCAAGAAGAGCCCAGGAAGACCTTCGCCTGAGTTTGTCAGAGGCCGAGGAAGATGTCGAGTGCTGGTTCTCTCACAACCCCGACGGGGGGCCGCTCAGGGATTGCCTTCAGGAGTTGGGGTGCTTTGTGCAGCACAAGAATCGCTCCTGTGACGTAATCCTCCCGCTGGATAGCATCTCGGAGCATCGAGTGGCCTACTACTTCCACAAGAAGCAGGCTGAGACTTTGGGCATCACTCTGTCACCGATGGATTTATACCGCCTCGCGACCGAGCCGGCGAAGTGATGCGTGCCCCCGCGGCTTCAGTTGCATGAGTTTTGGGACCGTACATGAAGTGTCGAGTTCCCCGCGGACCTCCGGTTTTAGGTCCTTCGAAGGTTTGAAGACTAAGTACCCTTCTTGGAAGTCTACGATGATCGAGACTTCGAGTTCCCCCTGTCCTTCAAAAGGACCCTCACGCAGCAGCACGCGGTCACGCGGAGGTTGTTCGAAGTCATGGCCTCGATCGCGGTGCAGCAAAGCCCGCCCGAAAGCCCTAAAGTCCTAAACCCTAAACCCTAAACCCTGAACCCTAAACCCTAAACCCTAAGATGGGGCCATGAAAAAGAGCGAACCCCACGGAACGGAGATCTGAAATCAGGGAACGGAGATCTGAAATCAGATCGCGCTGCGATTCCTCCGAGGAACAAGGGCACGGTTTTCCATCTGCAGGTCTGGTTTTTTTAGTTGGGTTCATGGTTTTTGCATATAGTGTTCATGGTTTTGGGTTGTGTCAGCTCCATATGTGATGCGATTTCCCATGCAAGTTGGCTCCAAGCGATTAACGGAGAAGATTGCGGAAGTACCGGACCTATCCTGATCTCAGACTACTAGGATGCCCAGTAGTACCCTTATTCCCCTTTTTGTAGTCCTAGGTTCCTTATAAAGTTACCCAATACCAAAAAGAGAGGCCTTTTTATTCTTAGGTTACTGGGTATCCTAGACTATGTATCTACCCCCAACTTACCTTTGGTTAGTAGGGAATGGAGGAATGGGGGTACAATTATCACTACTATTACTACCATTCTTCCATTCCCTACTAACCAAAGGTAAGCCAAAGCCCCAGGGCTGAAATTGTTGATTCTGCCATCAGTCTTCAAGTCGAAGCTGCAATTTTTTGCCGTGCTCGGGGTATCGGCTATTGTAGAGTCTAGGGTTTAGGGATCATCCCTCACCCCCGGAAGCCCTCATGGAACTCTGAAGCCATGCCGCTCTGAAGCAAATACGCAAACTATGGCCTGGGACAACAAAGAGCTGCACAAGAAGTTTGAGCCCTTGTTGCGCTGCCTGGAGGATTTCCGGGCTTGGGGTTCAGGTCTCAGGGTTGTAGGTTGAGCGTTCAGGATTGCGGGGCTTAAGAGGGGCAGAGGACGTAGGTGTTTACGGTTTCGGGTGGAACTGCTACGAGGGAAAGACCACCATCTAGCCAATGCTCAGCGAACCCTGAACTCCAATGCTCGTACCCCAAACCTAGAAAATTGAAACCTGAAAGCCTAAAGCCCTTGTGCCATAAAGCCTCACGAAGCAATATTAGCAAACTGATAAAGACGTGGCTGCCTTCCAGCCCTTCGAGCTTATGGTTATAGGGGTTTTTAGGAGGCCCTCAATGATGGGGGTTTGCAGGTACTGTGGGCTATGAAACTTAATTCAATGATCAGCGTCCATCGTCGCATCTCTCGTCTTCATCATCACCGTCATCATCATCATCACCAGCATCATCATCATCATCATCATCATCGCCATCCTCACCATCATTGTCGTCAGCGTCATCATCGTACTACAAACTGTCAGCCTCATTCATTGTCCTCATCCTCCCTCTCTCCCCCACCTCCTCCTCGTCCTCCCCCTCCTCCTCCTCCTCCTCCTCCTCCTCCTCCGGATCTCCTCCTGCTCCTCCTCCTCGTCCTCCTCCGCCTCCTCCTCCTCCTGCTCCTCCTCCTCCTCCTCCTCCTCCTCCTCCTGCTCTTCCTCGTCCTCGTCCTCCTGCTCCTCCGCCTCCGCCTCCTCCTCGTCATCATCCTTATCCTTATCCTTCTCGTTGGTGTCGTGGTGGTCGTGGCTGTCGTCATGTTGGTAGTGCTGGTAGTGGCCGTTGTCGTCGGCATTGTTTTACCTCCTGTTCCGGATTGTCCCCGACGAGTACTATCACCATTCACGGCTTGGGGTCTGTGGTCATTTTGCGTTTTGGCCATGGATGTTGGATGCAACAGCAGTGGTAGGTGCTGTCCACAGGAGGGCAGCAGCGTCGCGTTGCTAACCATGAGGGGCTCGTGCTGCCCGGTGACGCGAGCTCACTGTGACATGAAGCCCGGCCTCATTCAGCCTGGTGGTGTGTACTCCCCAGGTTCGCTGTTAAGCTAAGGGGCTCTTGCTGACGGTCCTGGTTGAAGTTGTAGAAGCACAGCTCCCACTTCTGCATGTTCGCCTTTGCAATGCTCTTCTTCTGATTCTGGATGCTAATGCGTGTAGTCTTGCTCTTATTTTCATGTCACATGTGCCTTCCCAAGTATCTGCGCGTTTCACATGATTGGTTTGAACGAGGAACGGACATGTTCAGCTTTTCCAGAATACTTTCGGTGCTACCAGGATCTGAGCTTAGGACCTGAGGTTCGGAACGGAGCTTCAAGACTCAAGCTTTGTTCAATAGAGGCTGTATGAGCTGTTTTCTCAGCGAGGTTGTGGAGTTCTGCCTGTCTTTGAAGAGGTGTGGGTTTGGCTATGGCAGTGGTGGTCACGGCTTCTTTGTGCTGTGAAGAGTTGGTCGCCTTTCGTCGGATTGTCTGTTTCAATTCTGCGGCCTCGACTTTTTTGGGTGCAGAGTCCAAACCTAAGAAAACACGAGTCCTACACCCTGAACCACAGTTTAGAAGAGGATGGCGTTCCTCGTTTAGTGTCATCGTCGCTTACTTGGTGGTTTCATGATTCCTGCAATGTGCACTGTCATTTTCAATAACATGAGGACAGTCGCAACTTCTAAATTTCATGTCGCTTGCATTTATGTGCATCATGAGCGTGTAAGTTTTAGTCGCGTCAGCGCTTATGGTCTATTATCATAGAGCTTGATCCACGTTTTCAGTTTTGTGCAGTGTTTGCTTTTTGTTCAGGCTTACCCATTCACGATTACCGCCGTAGATGTACTGGCTTAGGTTCTTATCGCTTCCTTCGCACCACTGCGGAAAGGTACAGTTTGCTTGTACTTGAATGAACACATCTGTATTAGTATATGTATATACACATATACACAGACGCGGAGGCACCACAGCCATATATATATATATATATATATATACACACACACATACACACTCATGCATAATACACATGTGCACCAAGATTGGCGCAGTACTGTGAACCCTGGTCATGCGTCTAAAACGGAGAACCTGATATTTGCTTAGCTTTCCTACCGCTAGCACAGATTGCTTGCAACAATGCTGTTGTTGATGATGATGATGGTAATGATGGTGATGCTGATGCGCATTACGTTGATGGTGATGTCTTGCTGATGAACATCCTTGCATCTTCGTCCTGCCATCATCAGCATGATCATCGTTATCATTATCATCATCGTCATCGTCGTCAATGTCGTGGTTATCGCCAACATCCGTATATAAGGATCCCACAGGGTTAAGGGCCGATACTAGGAGTATGGCCCATGGACAAGGTTCCAGCGGGCTCGCAGTGTACTGCTGGGCCAGAGTCTACTCTGCCCCCCCGGAATGCCTCCCTTCTCCGAGTGCTTGGGGCTCTTGGCCTTGAACCCGGACCGCAGCATCAAGCGAAAGTTTGAGAGGACTGGGGAGGGTGGCAGGGGGCGGGGGGGGGGGGCCATAAGCAGCTGTTCCGGGCAAGGTCGGAGGTTGAAACTTGAGTTGTCTGCAGTCTTTGGGGGCACTCCATCGCTATACATGCGTGGAGGCTGAGCCTTCATCCTCGCCGCAGCAATGGCAAGTGATCGCATGATCTCAACGAGCACTCCTCTGATGGTTGTCATAGAGCCCCAAGCCATGCAGTTTTGGAATTGAGCGGTTTCGGGCTTAGGCAAGCGCGAAACCACAATGTGTCGAATACCCAAAGCCGGCAAGCACTCGCATAGAGTTCCCGTTAAAAGATTTTACTGTATTACTGTAGTATATCCGCAAACCCGGTCCTAATTCTTAAGGCCTCCTTTTGATTCACAGAACCCCAAACCGCAGCCTTAAAGCCTGAAACTCTAAGTTTAGGGTTTCGGGTTCAGGGGTTAGGGTACCCTAATCTCTTGCAGGCTTTTTGAACAAGTGCGGTTTTGTTGACGCTGTTGAAAGAGCCTTGGTCCTGGTGCCGCGGGCTCAATGACAAGTCGTACGGCCAACACAGCGAGAACGAGGGTATCATATCGACAACACAAAACCCCAAAACTGAAGGACCCAGGCACCGGCCAAATCCCAGATGCACAACCCGAGCTTCAGATAAGTCCCGCGAGCCCCCTGCTTTTGAACACCCGATCCACAATCCAGAAAGCCCGAAATCCCTACACTTCCGAAGAGGACATGCTATGCTGAAGGGCCACCTTTCTAATAATGGTCGGAATCATGACTGACAATATTCTTTTGCGATCCCTATATACTTCATTTTCCTAACCCTAAACCCTAAATCCCTGCATACTTCATTTTCTTGAAGGAGATCCGAGGCTGAAACGCCTATCCGTTGGTTGGACCGGGCCCACCTCGTCCGCTTGGCGACGGCTGAGGTTGGATGAAGGGCTCAGTCAATACCTCAACCTCTGTTCTAACCCCAGAACCCTAAAACACAATTCACGTTTTGTTTTTTTGATTGTTGAGTTCTTTTTGCTTCAAATTATTTCATGCGCACAGTTGTTCTCTCCATATTAGAAGAGAGATAAAAAGTTGTAAGAATAAAGAAGAGAACAACGAAAGCCCGATCATAAAGCCGACATAAACAGAATTAAAGATAATGGAAGCACGCTTTATTTTGTGTTTCATTGGCTTGATTGTGATGGTAAAAGACCTAATTATCTAAAGTAAACTACTGAAAGCAAGTCTACTTTGTTTAAACTAGTTACTTCTCTTTCATTCTATAGGGTTATTGGGTGTGTTTTTTGCTATTTGTTTATGAAGCTCGCACTGCGCATTCGTTTCTCTCACTAATGCGGGGTTCAGGAGGTGAAAGGGGCTTCGAGAGTTCCGTTTTGGTGCGGGGCTTGTGAGGCTCCGTTGTTCTCTTTTGTACATTCAATACAAGGGTTTCCC